CGGGGCGGCGGCTGCTGGGTGGCCTTTGCCCTTCGGGTCTTGGCTTCGAAGCTGCGAAGGCGCCGGTTTAGATCCCCGTCCGGAGGCAGCTTCGTGCGGGGACACGGCGCGGGAGCGAACGGGCGGGTTGGAACTGGCGGCGTTCAGAGGAGGCTCTTCGCTGTGCGGTAACCGGTGGGAAGTGAACGTTGGGCTGGTGACAAACCCTTCGATTCCCGGGCTGTGACAGTTCCTCCGTCTGCTTATCTTTTAGTATCTATCAGTCCTTTTATAAAACATCCTTCAGAGTCGATTTTGAAGCATGGCCAATGCTGAGTTAGGTGTGTCATACACCTGGAAGTCCCAGCGTGTGTATTTTCCAACTAGAATGATGGTTTGGGAGTTTCTGATACCGTACTTTAAGTCAGTGAGGCACATGATACATGGACAGGGTCATTTGCCATCAGAGTATCTTCCTATCTGCCAAGATAATTTAAAAAAAAAGAAAAAAAAAAAAAGGAAGTAGTGTGAAGAAAGTGTATCTGCTGCTGTAATGGCTGAGGAAGCAGTAGAATTTTAGGGCACAAAGTTAGTCAAATCAATAAAAGATTTTCCGCATAAGACGTTTCTGTCTGACAATAGCAGGAAAAGATCCTTTTTCATCTCTTTTCTACTCCTGCAGCTCTGCTTTTTAAACAAAAGTAGCTGCTCAAAGTACAAAGCCTGCTATTGCTGATCTTGCAGTATTTCTTATGTGTGTTTTGAATATTTAAAAGAGGAGTCAGGGACGTGTGATCATTTGCCATATGGCTTCCTGTATTTTAGAAGTCTTTGCTAGCGAGTTCACTAGCTTCTAGCATTAACAAATGAGAGTACTGCACAGGCATAATAAGCCAAGACTGAGGCACACGGTGTGTTAAAACCTTACGCTGCCGTCTGGTTTGTACAGTTGGACTGCAGTCTGTTCGTGAGGCTTCTTTGGAATATGGTTTTTAGAATAAAAGTCCACGTACCTGGGTTGTGATTCAGTGGTGTATATGGATTGGAATTCTATGTTGTGCTTCAACACAGTAACTTCAAAAAAACAATTTTCTTGTTTTTTTCATATAGCTATATTACCAAGTCTTAAATTTTGCTATGATAGTGTCTTCTGCCCTCATGATATGGAAAGGGCTGATCGTCATTACTGGAAGTGAAAGTCCTATTGTTGTGGTGCTCAGGTGAGTCACTGTAAAGGCTTTTTTGTTAAAGTCCAAATATTGTTTTGTCCTTTATCTTCTCCCCTTCCCCCTTGGATAGTTTTGGAGTTGGAAGTCTCACCTGCTTAGAGAAGTACTCACTTATTTTCTTCCAACTCTGTTTTTGGGCACTTAGCAAAGACTGCTTTTGTAATTTCAGTCTCGTTTTCACTGAAGTTTGTAGAAGCAGTAGATATGTGAAACCTTTGAAAATCTAGGTATGTTCATTTAATTACTAGATAAACTACTTAAGGTTACTTACATATACGTATTGCTACCAAGGCACTGTAATCCCTGGATAGGTGTTAGGATTTCAAAAAAATTCATTCTGCTTTAATAGAATCACATGTAATCCTATGAAGCTTCTATTATCTCTTGAAGAAGATAACAAGAAGTGTTGCACTTCTTGAAGCCATTGGACACTTTCTGATCTGTTTGTTAATTTTGTTTTTTGTTTTTCTTACCATAGGTGTATTTATCTAAAAATTGTATTACAGTAAAACTTCTTTTATGAGTAAATTATACTTGTGTGTTGCTTCTCTCTCAGTGATATCTTACCTCTGGTATATAAAGAGGTTCTGTAGGCCCTGAGTGCTGATCAGATACGTGAAGTTAAACATATGTTCACGGAAGCTTCAGCTTTACAGAAATTGAATGTATGTCAGCAAGGAATGTGTGCAGTAAATAACAGTATTTTAATGGGAATTGTCTGCTCATCTTAATAGTTACGGGATCTGGAATCCTCCCGTAAAGGTTCTTACCAAAAGATACTATGGCTGGCTTTGAAAAAAGGCATGGATTTTTCTGATCATTAGTAGTAATCACTGATGTAAGCATAACTTTTGCTCGTGTTAATTAAACTCTTTCTATGTAGAGAGTTTCCTGTTGTACTGGGAAACGTTTTTTGGCTTTCCACTAACAGACTGGCTTTCTTAAGGCAATAAGGAAGTCCTCTGTAGGCTGGCTTAGCTTGGGACTTCCTGAAGTTTGGGTTGTGTTAGATATCTCTGTAGTGTTACTTGATGGGTGAAGCTACAGATTTCAGTTAAAATTGTGAGCTTATCCGTAAGAATGAAGTGTTGTTTTTATGGTTCTTCTTTAATTTACCATAATGCTAATAAACTCTCTCTTTCTTTTTGTTTGTAGTGGCAGCATGGAACCAGCTTTTCACAGGGGGGACCTGTTGTTCTTAACGAATTTCCATGATGACCCAATCAGAGCTGGTGAAATAGTTGTTTTTAAAGTCGAAGGCAGAGACATTCCAATAGTTCACAGAGTAATCAAAATACATGAAAAGTAATGCAACTTGGCATTTTCCTTGTTTCTAAAGATAGTTTCCTTCACTTTGACTTTCAGTTAAATTTTAATTTGGTAGTATCTTATGAAAAAGCAGGTGAGGATATGCTGTAAGATAAAACTCATCTCTAGGATGCGATTTGTCTCCAATTCTGTGTCACACTACTTGAGACCCTGACTCCTGTCACTCAGCAAAGTTGCTCAGGGTCTACGTAGGTAAACCTGTGACAAAGAGGTGTCCAGTAACATGAGCTATATATGTTGTTTTTGCCAGCAGGAGCAATATGTATAGGAGCAGAGTCCACTTTCCACTTCTGTACTGACTGTTGTAGAATTAGGGTTTTGTTTTGCATAAATTGCTGCTTCTAAAAGCAGATGTCTGAAAGAGGGTGAAGATTCAGAATCAGAACTATAGATGAAGCGTGACAAGTATGTGATCTTTGCTAACTGACTGACTTGGAATTAAATCAGAGATTCTTACTCTTTTTGTGCCTGTTAGTCACGATACCAACAATTCATGCGGAAAAGCAACAGGCAGATTACTTGTTTTTACTTTTGTTTCATTTGCCTGGTATGATAAATGGTTCCTTCTCCAACAAAAGAGAGGCAGTTCTCTTTGTAATTCTGCACAGCTGACCTGGAGGTGGCAAGCATTGACATATTTGCTCCTTAGGAAGTCCTGGCCCTGAACTGAAGATGTTTATCTTTTGAGTAATATCTCTTCTTCAATGCTTTTTTGAAATAAATATGTATATCCAAGAATTACATCTTTTTCTTTTCTTTTTTTAATACCTAATTTGTCAAAAACTCCTTGTTTCCTGGTATCACTGCTTGCAACTAGCAGCTGCTGATTGAAGACTGTAAACTTAATAACTTTATCTGAACAGGAGTGTTGAACCGAAGCCATCACCTGCACATATGCCTCATGCTTGAAAGGGAGCGGAAAAACAGCAGTGGTTAAATTCATGTCATGTTCAAAACCTAGTGTAGGATACTCTGTTCATTTGAAACAGTGGGGGAAGTTTATGATTTGGGCATGTTTAGACCTCTGTTCCTACAAAAAGGAATGAGCCTCCCCCGTGGCCAGGAGAGGTCAGGACATTAGCTCTGGCTCCAAGGGTGCAACGTGGCTATCTGAGCTCTGCGGGCGTTCATCCGTGCGGGAGGTGTTTCTATTGCTTGAATTTCTCCATGCAACCCCCTAAAAACCCCATGTAGTGTGTTGTGTGCATGGGCCATATTTAAAGACTGGTTATGTGTATTTTTTTAATAAATAACAAACATAAGTGAGGTTTTGCCTAGACCTCACTATACTGTTTAACAATTAATGAGTGAACTAAAACTGTATTGCAGAGTTAGTGACGAAATACTGAATTTGATGCAGATTTGCAGCTACTTTAGAGGGTCTTCAATATTTATTTCTATCAAAAGAAGGACAAAGCTTTGTTTTGACATGAATATGATTACTAAGAGTTAAACAGATGTATAGAACTTAGAAGAAAATTGCCTAAAGCATTGTATTATTATACCACTTTCTTTCCTAAGGGAAGATTTTTACAGTCTACCTTACCTGAAATTTGCAATTTAAATTGAGTTAAACTCATTCTCTAATGTGCTATGACTTCACAGGATCTTATTCCACAATTTGTAAAAAACAGTGGGAGGGAATCAAAACAACAACCAGCTCTTAATAGAGTATTATTCAGTATTCCAGAGTTAAATTTCTGTTCTGTTGAAAATGCAGAGGGTTGGGGTTTTGAGGGGGGGGGGGGTGTTGTTTGTTTTTTTCTCCAGATAGGCACATACTGCTTTTGTTGAGGAAGTTTAGTGCCTGCTCAGGATGGACAATATCCCTTTCATGTCCATTGTGTAATTGCTTACATCAAATGACAATCTAGTTGTGTTTTAAAAAACATTTTTTATGAAAATCTATTGACTCTTATTAAAGTCTGTAATGTTAATGATTTAATGGTGTTTGTTAAATAAGCGGGACAAGCAAGAGTGGAAGTAAACATTGTTATCTAATCTTGTAGCACTTTTCATCCTCACTGTGCTTTGTAGATGTTAATTGAGGTTTTTAAATGAAGTGCTTATTTAGTTTATTACCTCGTTGCCTTCTAGAGAAAATGGGAACATCAAATTTCTGACTAAAGGTGATAATAATGAAGTTGATGATAGAGGCTTGTACAAAGAAGGTCAGAACTGGTTAGAGAAGAAAGATGTTGTTGGAAGAGCACGAGGGTAAGTAATGCAAAATGTTTATGTTCTTTGTAATTAAATAAAAAGAAAATTCGGAACTTAAATCAGTTCTGATGTTGGTACAAACTAGATCTGGTATGGTATTTTAAAAATTTCTTAAAGAAAGTAGTAATTAAAAAAAACCCCCTACTTTACCTGGAAAAGTTGCTTTCTGTAGTCCTCTCGGTGATGTGGAGAATGGAAATTAATCATTTTGAAAAAATGGCACATTTAACAAATAATTCACCAGTAAATACAAAATTAACCAACTTATGCTTGTAACCGCTAGAAATTATTAGGAAATTATCTGCACATTCCACAGGAATTTTATGCAAGGTTTGAGCTTTTGACTTTGTTCCTTTCCCCAGTTGAGATGAAATACCTTTTAAGATTTTTCCCAAATAACTTGATTATATTTTTATCTAAGGGGAAAAAAACCAAACATTTCCCATTTAGCTGTGCATTAGTGACAGGCATAAATGGTTGTTTTGCACTAAAATATTGAAGACTGAGTAATGTTGAAACATTTCCATGTAATATTTGAGGGTTAATTTTGCATTCATCTCTTTTTGTCAATTACAGATTTTTGCCTTATGTTGGTATGGTAACTATAATAATGAATGACTATCCAAAATTTAAGGTATGTATACAGGCATTTTGAGTACTTGAATTTAAAACTATAAAATAGCAAGTAAAGATAGTAAGAATCTTGCATATAAGAATACATGTTAATAAATTAGTTCCTGTGGTTTGATACCTAATGTAAAATGAGCTCTGTTTTCTTGCTTATTTTAGCTTGTCTGTTATCCAGTAGAACTGAGTGTTTGTAATAATTTGAAAACATGTCCTTTATAGGAATTTCATAAGTTAAGTGTATACAGTTGTGATGTCTATTTATGATTAATCTGATTGCAATGAAATATTCCTGTAATTCTGTAGGAACACAACTCTATAATTGTGTGCTCCTCTAGAATGTGTAACGTTGGAGAGGGCACACTTTGAATAATTTGTAATTTCAGAGCTTCTGTGAGGAGAAATTATAATCACTCTTTATTTTCTGTTTTCTTTTGCAGTATGCTCTTCTGGCAGTAATGGGAGCATATGTACTGCTGAAACGTGAATCCTAAAAAAAATAAATCAAGAGTCACTTTTCCAAGAACAATGTTAAATATACGGGGGGGGAAAAACCTAATATATATCAGATGTTTTAATTTCTGTATACAGTTACAAAACTGTGCAAGCTTTGTCTAAATAAACTGTACAAATAATGAGTAAAGCTTTTGGCTGTTGGTTAATTATATAATGGCGTATTTACTATCTTAAATAGATGCTGCTCTCAGCCTTTTGCATGTTTGGAAGACACTGACTTGTCATGTGCTAAAGCAGCCTCTGGCACTCCTTGACATGCTGTGTTGTTTTTTCTTAAAAACCCACTTTGTCCCTCCTGTTTGTTAATTTTTGTTTTTACTTGATTATTTTTCATCTCTGTCAGCACCCTCTCTTTTCATCACCATACAAACTCTTTTTATCAGTACTCGTAAGGATGTGGCATATGGGTTGGAACAGGTAGCGAGTTGTCGTTCAGTCAGACTTGTGCCTGAGGTAAGTAAGTTGTCTAGATATGGCTGACAAAAATAGACAAGAAAGTCTTTCACTCTGATTAAGAACTGAGAAATGGAAACTTGAAACTTTTTCCCTGAATTTGAAACTTGCTTCTTTGCGGTGCAGGGACAAAAAAAACTGATGGCCTGATTTTAGAGGCCTGGTTTTTAGGGACTGTGTATGTTTCTAGAAGTCGGACTGTTAACCATTCTGCCTTTGTGTTCCTAGCTATAAAACAAACCTAACAAAAATATTCTGTGAGACTTTAACATTTGTAAATTACTGAATGAATAGCTAGCTCAGTAGTGTACTTAAGTAATATTGCCAAGAAGGGAAAGACATAACTCATATTCCACTTTTGAGAATGTATTGTTCTCTCCTGTCATGTGATACCTGAATAGTGTTAAACATAAAATTGATTTTTCATTTTAAAACTCACCTGATAACTGTCTTGTATGAATTTCTGGATTTTTTTTCTTGTCGGCTTTAAATGTCAGTGTTGTACCTTCAACAAAGCAGAACTTGTTTTCCTCGCTTGCTTTGTTTTTGTAGCTTTGATAAGGAACAGCATGATGCTTTTTTCCTATGGGGTTTGGTTTCTTCTGCAATCTCTTACCTTTACAAAAATATACTGTTACACAACAGTGGCACCTCTTCTGTTGTAACAGCTAGTGCTGAAAGGCAGACAACTGCTGAATTTTTCCAAGTAATATTACTTCTTTTGTGTCCTCTTAAGCCATTTTAATGACAAACTGTATTATAAAAATTACTTATTTTGTGTCAAATTGTGTAGAAATAAAATTGAGTATAATAAATGGCATGTCAAAATAATTTAGGTATCCTTAGTGCAGTCTTCCCAGAACTGTACCATCACAGTTAAGAAAAAATAATTTAATTTTTGGAGACAGTGTATGCGTAGTAAGATTTTATCTATTTATTTATTTGTTTATTTATTTTTTTCCCCTTAGTATTGCTGAAATCAGAATTTAGTCCTATCCACCTACCCCAGAGCAATCGCAGTCAGCTCTGGCATTGAGAGTGGGGTTTTGGGCATAACCCAAATGACAAATTCAACACATTATTATGGGAATTTATTCTTGTGTTAAGGAAACATGGATTAGTAAAAAGACACAAGGATAACATCTAAATATGTGGGTTCACGCTCAGAAAAAAAAAGGTTGCATTTCTTGGATGTTGAAATGTTACCAGCTTTTCCTGCTAGTCTTGCTGAGAAAAAGTTTGCGGGTGACTTTGCTGCAGCTGAACTTACCTGTCAGCTCTGGTTACTGAGATGGGGTGATCCTCCTGTTGCAGACAGCACGGTCACACATCTCTCTGTGTCAGCGCTCGTGTTCAGTGGAGCCAGTGCAACGTGTGTACCCAGGAAGAAATTAGTTATCTGCTGGGTTTGAGTTGAGCAGGCTCAGCAGAGCACATGGAGCGGGGGGAAACACCAGAGCGTGATAGAGGCAGAGGAGGAGGAATGGGTTTAGCCTTTGGGAACCGAGCTGTTAGATTTTCCTGACTGTAACATGTACCTTTGTGTTTAAAATTTAAGCAGGATGTGAAGGTCATTGACTGTGTCCAGAGTAGGGCAGCCCAACTGGTGAAGGGCTGTGAGGCATGTCCTGTGAGGAGCGCCTGAGGACTCTGGGTTTGTCTCGCTTGGAGAGGAGGTGGCTGAGGGGCGACCTCGTGGCTCTGCAGCTTCCTGAGGAGGGGATGTGGAGCGGGAGGTGCTGAGCTCTTCTCCCCAGGATCCAGGGACAGGACACCTGGGAATGGCTCAAAGCTGTGTCAGGGCAGGTTCAGTTCAGACTGAGGAAACATTTCGTTACCGAGAGGGTGGTCAAACCCTGGAAGAGGCTTCCTGGAGAGGTGGCCGATGCCCAGAGCCTGTCAGTGTTGAAGAAGCATTGGGACAGGGCCCTTAACAACAGGCTTAAGCGTTTGGTCAGCCCTGAAGCGCTCAGGCCACGGGGCTGGATGATCCTGGCACCTCCCTTCCAGCTGAACTATCCTGTTCAGTTCTATCTCATTATGTGTTTATCACCTCTAAAATAATTTGCAGCAAGGGCACAAGCCACCCCCAAATTAAATTTATGTATATTGCTGTTCCTTGTGCTTCAAGCAGAATTTTACATACGCTCTTCAGAGGTAAGGGACAAACTGTGCTTGAGCATGTGTTTCAGCAGGTTATTGATCAGGCTGACTAATAAAAAGAAACCGGTTAAGAACTTGTGTATTTGATGCATCAAGGTGCTTTCCCTTTTCTACAAATACAGCTTCTTTCTTGAATTGCCCGCTCTGCTTCTGGGCTGCAGCTCTCCTTTGAAGTCAGGGCAGATCAAGGCTATAATTGGCAGATCTACTGACTTACTAACTGGAGACAGAGTGCTCCATTGATCCCTGAAGCTTTGGTAACTGGTTCACCTTGGGCCACATGCTGCTTAGACATCAATACCCCCTGGGAAGGATGGCTAGTTTGACTATTGGCATGAAATACTGTGCATTGTGTCACTGGAGAAAAGAAAAGAGCATTTTAAAGCTCCATCCTAGCAAGGCCTCTGGGTGATTGATTTTTTTTTTTTTTAATTTGAGGAAAATCAAGATGCTGCCAGCACAAGCAGTATGTTTTTAACTGAGCAGTTAGGTGTAGGAGAGGCTCAGACTTTGATTGAAGCTGTTTGTTTGGTTTTTTTCTTCCATTTAGCTGCCTTTTCACAGCTCAGCTATAAACTGTCCCAGAGCTGTGCAGGCCACAGCGTGTGCGGAAGGCGGCCCCAGGCATGGGGGGGACCCCTGGACATGGTGGGGACCCCTGGGCTGGGGCTGGGCATCAGCACAGACCCTCGGGGTGAGGGCAGGGACTGGTCCCCATGGCCATGAACATGGCTGAGCAGGAGATGGGCTTCACTCGGTCCATTCCACTTCTCTCTCCTCAGCATTTCGGGGTTTGATGGGGTCGCACAGGCTGGAGATGTGCTTGCTGCATGCCTGTCTGCTCCTCACAGCACTTCTGGTGGGGCAGCCCTGGAGGTGGCCAAGTCCTGGCTGACACACATTCATCTGAGCTGCTGCCTGCCTTGGTAGAGATAAAATGAGTACATGGAGTAACTGGTGAGATAACTCCGCTTTAAGCTGTGTTAGCAAGTCATTTCTCTATTACGTTTAATCAAGATAGTGGGCAACAGTGATGAAAAAGACATTTTCCTCTGTGTGTATGGATTTTATCAGTGTTTCTTTGAACATCTTAAGGGCTAAAAGCAAACAAAACGTAAGCTGCCCACACGACAAAAATTCAATATGTTTCTCTGCTAGGCCACTTGGCTTAAATAAGTATATTTCATCTCTTCTGTCACCGTTTACGCTCCAGTACACTGCTTTTGTATATAGAACTAACTGCTTCTCTGTCATTTGGGTAGGAATATGTTACCAGCAGAAACTATATATACATATGCCATATCTAGTCTGTATCTATATGTAGGTATATGGAAATTTCACGTGGACACGACCATCACTTGAATTTTGAAGCTGTTTGAAATATGAACCCCTGTATGGATTTGAGTTTTACAAATAAAGCAGCTGTGGACAAAGCTTAATTTCTTGTGATGAGAGTCTGGAGCCACTTGGTAGCCCTACAGGTGGCCGGTGCCTGTCCTTTGTCACCTGCACTTGTCCTGCTGTTTTTTCACTCTTGGGACTTGGGTTGTGCAGGTTCCTCAGCTCTATTTTCTCCAACACACATGCTGTTTATAAATCCAGCATCAGTAGTTATATGTAGAAGAAAGTTGACATTTGGGAAACAAAACTTAGTTTTAAATTTCCTCAGTGCTTATTTTCCATAGATTTAGTTGCAAACCAACAACTTGGTGGATGAATCACCTGCTGGTTCTTGCACTACCCAAGTACAGAAATCCTGCTGAAAAAAAATAGCTCAGATTGTCAAGGGAAAAGGAGCCCTGTCCCCTTACTGTGAACCCCATGTTTTACCTGCTCCCTGAGCCACCCCAGGGGAGGAGCAGTCCCTGCTGCCCTGCGCACCCCCAGATGCCTGGCAGAGCCCACTTTAATGAGCGCTCAGAACTAGGGCAAAAGAGAGGGAGAAAGTCCATCACACACAACTGTCCTGGCAGCCCACAGAGCGCCCACCCTACCCGAGCCTGCGGCACGTTGTCTGATGGGCTGAGTGAACCCAAGGCATCTGCTGTGCACCAGGGTGCTGAGGGCAGGACACGAGCTGGCAACATGGGCTCAGAGCCCAGAAAGCCAACCAGAGGAAGAGAAGTGTGGGCAGCAGGTCAAAGGAGGTGATTGTCCCCTTCGACTTTGCTGGTGAGACCCCACCTACAGTGCTGTGCCCAGTTCTGGGGTCCCCAGCATGGGAAAGACATGGACCTGTTGGAGCAGGTCCAGAGGAGACCACAAAATTACCAGAGAGAAGGAACAGCTTTGCTATGGAAAGGCTGAGAGAGTTGGGGTTCAGCCTGGAGAAGAGATGGCTCTGGGGAGACCTTCTGGTGGCATTTCAATACTTGAAGGGGGCTGATGAGAA